TTTTTTTTTTTTTTTTGAGAGTCGATTAATTGAAAACGTGTTATAGAGATATATACAATACAAAAGAAAATCAGGGAGGAAATTGAAACAGAAAAGATGCTATATACAAGAGGGTTTTGAAATATATATTTACAAAGGATAAAAAAGGGGTTCTATTAAAAAAAATAATAAGAAAATATATAATCATCAAACACTTATAAAAAATGTAGAGAGACTGATAGTTGCAGGAATATCAGAATCTATATCCTGTTAACATATCAGCAAAATATGGCATAAAAGTATATAAGGGAATTATTAAGATACATACGGCGATCCGTCAATTCCACATCTAAACGCTACTATAATCTACAGAAATAAACAGCACTATCAAGCTCACAAAACATCCGACATATAGAATCAGAATTCTTCGAATGATTTATTATAAAAGAAGGAACCAAAGTGATGCTTTAGCAGCTATTTTACGGAAATATTTAATATCAAATTTTATATTATAGTGTTAGATTGTCATAATAGGAGAGCAAATTGCATGGGTAACATTTATGTGAAAAAGATTCTTATTATCTATCATTTAATAATTATATAATTATATGTATATATTCTTTACAAAAGTATCATCAATAATTATTACATTTTATTTGTTTTTAGCTAACAATTTAATATGATTATATCTGATATACATAAAATATGTATGAATATGTTAATCTCTCAAATTCTAAATTTTTCAAATTATAAAACGGGCTGCCAAAAAAGATTTTAGATGACGTCAAAACTTTCGTTTTGATTTCACGTCAGTAGTTCCTTCTTATGTGCACAATATTCGATTCTTATTCGAAGAGCATCAAAGAAACTTTCGTCGGATGTGATAATCAGGAGATAAGATAGAGATAAATATATCAAATGATATTACGGGTTAGTTTGTGTTAGGCATGTGTTAGTCAATGTGTTAGCGTAATTTTTCCCCTTTGCAACCACGGCACGTGGCCTCCGCCGAGCCCCGAGATAGAAGAGCCGAGAAGCAAATCATAATACGGTATAGTCGTACAGCGAAAAAGATGCAAAAGAAGAAGGAAAAGAAAGAGAGAGAGAGAGAGAGAGAGAGAGAGATGGAGAAGAAGAGATAAAGAGAAGGAATAAAGAAATAGGACAATATACAAATACTACGAAATATCGGGTGCAATGTGGAGAGCCTGTGCGTGCGCACGCACGCATCCGTACCGTGAGGTGGAATATCATCGACACAGTGAGGTGATACCGATCGTGTATGTTGTCTTTGTCGTAGTGTGACAATTGCGCCGTTGAGATGGAGGTTTTATATTACGGTATAGTGACGCATGGTATATACGGCAGAGAAGACGCGAACGGTGCGGAAAAGCCAAGTGAAGAAGCAAAGTATTTTCCCTTACTTCTCTCTCTCGTTTCAAACTTGATAAAACAGACGTATAGATTTCAAAAGTTTCATAAAATTGTTCCTTGAAGGATAATGCATATAGGTAATTTCAGATAGCGCACACTTTCCTTTCTCTATTAGTTCCTTGCTCGACTCGCGATCGATTTTTCAACCTATATTTTTTTCTCGCTATCTAAAATTTCGCATCAAGAGAGAGGTAAATAATAAAATTTAATTTATAAAAGTTCTTGAATTTTTGTAATAATTTTATGCGTGTCTCTTTTAAAATTTTTGTGGAAAGATAATCAACTCCATAAAATATAATGAAAAGACAGTGCGCAGGGAATCTGAGACGTCCTATTCAGAGACGGAGCATAACAAATGCTCAAAGTGCATCTGCACTAGATTATAAACATATACTACATCCTACAAAACTTAAGAACATAGGCGGGAAATATCAAGGTTCATCTCAATGGCGTTGTCATCGCAACATCGTCTTTTTCTCTCTAAAAGAATGATGTTGAAAGATCGCCATTACCTCATTATGTCGATATAGTACGCGAATATACACTAACACGCACGCGGGCACGCACGCACGTACACGCACGTACACGCACGCACGTACACGCACGCACGCGCCAGCACCCACGCTATAGTTAAGGTGTTAGCGAGATTATAGGATTAGAAGTGGTGCCATGCGGGAGAGCTACGTGTATATAAGCTACAAAAAAGAAAAAGAAGCTGCTTTGTCACGCGGCGAAAAAGAAAAAAAAAAGAGGAGAGATAGCGAGAGAAAAAAGAGATAGCGAGATAGAGAGATAGACAGAGGCGCAATTTGACTCGATGCTCACCATTTTCATACTCGGTATTTTCTCTTTATCACGCAGCTCATACTATGTGATAAAGTGACAACGGTATATCGTTCAATGGTTGCCTCCGGTTGGCTCGTGTTCGGCGGGGCTGGCGGGAGCGGGGTGTGTCGTGTGTTTCTTTATCTTTTGTATCTTTCTCGTTTTTTTTTTTTGTTTTTTTTTTCGTACACGCTTCGTTCCCTTTCTTGGCGAAAGAGAGAGGGGGACGAAGGGCCGAAGATGCGAGTTTCGTACGCAAAGGCTCGAAGTCACAGACAAAGGAGGTACGTGCAGCGATGGTGCCCGCTTCAACGGTGCACACTCTACTCTCGTGGATTCACGCAAATAGAGTCGCGAGGAGTCGTTTAACTTCAGTCAAAGTTACAGTCGCGAGTTGAAAATGGTACGAAAATGGGACCGCGATTTTCCGTATCTATGGCACATAAAATTTAACACTTATAGGATAACCGATTTCAATATCTCGTGGTAGAATGTAAAGTTGAATCGCGCGCGTGCATTTGCATTTGACGATACTGCAACTTTGATCGTAGCATCAACTCCGCGAATTTATTTCGTGTCTTTGAATGTTACGCTCGTTATGCACGTCATTCGTGCATTCATCTATTTACACACTGAAAGATAAGGGAAAAAATTCATGTGTTATTCGTTAATGAAAGACACGCTTGGTTGTTTTGTTTCCAGTTTTATCTTTCCCTTTTTTCCACTTTTAATGGCACTTATTACAGATGGTACAAATGATCCTACAAACTAACTTGTGTCTTCGCATAGAAGAAAAAAAAACATAGAAGAAAAAAGAAAAGAGAAGAAAAAAAAAGAGAACAATTCGGTCAATCGTGCGATAACGGCGGTCGGTCGCACGAGGAGACGGTGAGGAATAAATTTGGGGAAAAGAAAAGGATTGAACGTGGACTATATTATATCGAATGTCGGTGACGCGAGGAGAAGTAAGGACAATGTAAGGATCCCTTGAAGGAGACGGAGAGACGAGGTAACATGCTCGCCTATACTACAGTGATGACGGACTCCATAAAGGTGAGAATAGAACAATCTGGTCCTGTTGGACCGTCTAGATTCAACTATCGGGACACAAAGGACCGTCTATGATCTAAATTCACGAGGGAGATAAAGAAAAACCAAATTGGACGAGATTCTCTCTTTGTCATGCTTCGGGAATTCAAGAGGAAAGAACAGGAAGGAGGGACGCGGTTTCTTTTTTCACTGTATCGGACACGCTGTACACGTATACGTAGACGCTC